ACTTTCTGATTGGGTCTCTGAGTGGACGTCTGGTTTGTTCGTGATGAATTATTTCTTAGTTTTCCTTCTAATAGTCTAGCCCCTCTGCTGAAGGACTGCTGAGGTCCACTCCAGGCCCTGCTTGCCTGGGGAACACCTGTAGCTGCTGCGGAACAGTGAGGGTTGCTACCAGTTTCTTCTTCTGCTATCTTTGTCCCAGAATGATCCCCACCAAATGTCAGTTTGATCAGTCATTTGTGAGGTGACTCTTTGGATATACGGGGGTCAGGGAGCTGCTTGAGGAGACAGTCTGTACTTTATGGGAGCTCAAGTTCATTCAGGGCTGCTAGGCAAGTACATTTCAGTCTGCTGCAGCAGAACTCATAAAGCCCCTTTTTTCCCTCAGGTGCTCTGTCTCAGGGAGTTAGGGCTTTATTTATGAGTAGCCGTTGCACTGTCCTGCCCAGCAACGAGGCAGTCTAGTCACTGCCGAGGCTACGCTGATCTGCTCTGGGCTCTGCCCTACTGCAGTGGCCTCCGACCTGCTGCCTTGTGTAATTCCCTGTAGTCCTGTTTATATGGGTGTGGTTAGACCTGCCGTGGCAATCGTGGCCCGCCTCTGTAATGGCAGTCTCTCTCTGTTATAGTGGGTTGCTTTGGCAATGGCAGGCTGCGTCAGCAATGGCAGGCTGCGTCAGCAATGGCAGAGTACCTCCATAGGGGTGGAGTGCCTCGGTAATGACAGACGCCACTCCCCCCCGAGCTGCACTTTCCTGGGTTCAGCTGTGCTTGCCGTGAAACTCTCAACCTGGAGCGTTTCCAATTGCTGTTTTGTTTGTTTCTGTGGGGGTTGTACCCGCCGAGCGTGATCACCTGGCTCCCTGCCTCAGAGCCCTTTTTTTTTTTAAGTTGAACGGTTGACTCTCTCCCAGGTGTTTCAGTCACCTGCTGAAAGGGCGCCAGGATTTGTGTGATTTCCTGTGCGGCGACCCACTGCACCAGCTAAAACAACGTCACTGCCCGGGAATCTCCTGGCCTGGCTTACTGTTTAAGTCCCGTTTAATCAGATGAATGTGCTAATCTGCCTTCTCAAATCTCAAATTGCTAGTTTAACAGGGCAACCAGACCAGCGTATTTTGTACAGCATGCCGCTGCACTGCAGCACTGGCCAAAACAGCCGCACTGGCTGAAACGACCGCGCCTGCTGAAACAGCCATGCCAGAGGCCCATGGGGCTCCTACACCTGGGAATCTCCTGGTCTGTGGGCAATAAAGATCCATCTGGAAATGTGGTGTCCACTCACCCTCTGCGCTTTCACTGCGAGCTGCAATCCTGAGTTGCTCCTATAGCGCCATCTTCTCCTCTCCCCCTGAGTATCAAATTTTATACTTTTCAATTTCCCACCCTTTCCTCTTTAAATTTGGAGCCCTCAAAATCATCTTTGGAGAAGGACAAAGACCTGTCTCCCAGCACATTAACTTTGGCAAATCTCCTGAAATGCTTAAGACTTATCTTGTTATTTTTCTCAATCGACAGAACTAAGTCTGTAATTGCCTTGAGGATTCAATAGACAATATACATCATCAACACCCTTTACCTAAAGCCCACCAGAACAGCCCTATTGACAAGTTGGGGTTATTCCTCCTTGCAACTAGTGAGAAGACACAGAATAGGGAACCAAGGGGTGTCTTAATAAGATAGCATTATAAAGAACCTCTTAAGGGAAGTGGGCTTTGTTTGGGTGAACTGGTAGAACATCTAAGGAAGTGAGGGCTTGCTCCATATTGCAGGGTCTCAGAAATTATATGTTTCTGGGTGAATCTATAATTGAATATCTCAATAAATCTTAGCCATATGGAAGGCAGACTAGAATGAAGACAGATCTATCTTCATGATAAACAATGGTAAAGTAGCAGGCACTTATTTGGTAACAGGAATGTTTAGAACTTTGTGCTGCAGAGTGACCTTGTTATTGTCTCATTTTATTATGTTTCCAGACTTCCCTTTTTTGACATTCTGTGAGACTGTACATGCTCAAGGGCAGAACACTAGAGTCTGGCCATGAACTAGCTTGTATTGAGGTCTAAATGTGAATGTCAGATCAGTTCTAGATGTCACAGGCTGTTTTTGTTTGCTTTCAACATAAATATGTGGCATAGTGTTTAGCACCTGGGTACGTTTAGCTTGTTTAATAAGGATCTGTGCTAAACTCTGCAGATCAAGCAAACATGAGTAGCTCAACACCCTTATAGCATCTGAACTGGATCTTCACCTCTTTGGCTATGCCTCTGGTAACACTGATGGTTTACATACACACAAACAGAAAACAATAAATGCTAAACTTAGGTTGTTTAGACATAAATAAACTAATCTATGTTAGCATTCTCCCTCTCTCTGAAAAATTATTTTAACAACAAAATGGTTCCTACCTTAAGAAAACCATGATTCATAAGTTCTGGCCATGAATATCTAAGGGTTCTCAAAGACAGTTTGGATTTCCTTTAAGTATTAACCAATAATATTTAAAATGAAAAATATTAGCATTCAATATAGATGAAAATATGGAAAAATAGATTTAAAAACAAGCATATATAAGGAGACTTTTATTAGCAACTGAGTTAATGCCCCTCTGCAGATGGGGAAAGTTTATCATGTCAGCTTAAATGTTTTAAACATACTTAAATTAGGTTTTCACAGTTTTGATGTAATAAGCCACTTTGATATGTATGTAATTTAAGCCAAATTGCACCAACAGAACAACTTACAGGCTTCCTAGATTAATAATCTGCATGACTCACAACAGAAGGCACTTAGAAACACCTGGCCCTGGGCACATGGGAGTGACTGGGCAGTCAGCAGGTCGCTTGGGGTATTGGTTTCCTACTCATTTAGCTCCTGATAGATCTAGCTTAAACTTGAATAAGCTTATGAATGCTCACTTAATGCTTAAAATGATAAAATAAAGGATTTACTAAGGCCTCAGGATCCAAATAAAGTTGCCACTAATGATCCTAATTTATCCTGGCTGCATTTTATAGAAGAGGAATAAATTATGGCCAATTGAGTGAAAATTATATAACAAATTTTTAGTACTCAATAATACCCACACTAGAGAGTGCTCACTATATGCTAGGAGCTATTCTAAGTGCTTCTTCACAAAGTGACTTATTTTATTCACATAATGTGGCAAGGACTCCCATAATCCTCATTTAAAGATGAGAAACTGAGACACTAACCAAATCACAGCTAGTGTCAGGGCATTTTCAAACCCATGTGGTCTGGCACTAGAGTGTATGCTTTCAAACCACTACGCTCTACTGCACCTCTGAGGTGCCACAGTTCCTACTTTTGTGACTTTAGACCCTGATTTTTCCACCCATCATGATGTAGAAATGTTTGCTGAGGAACAAGAGATCACAGAGAGCACTGCATGTTTGGATTCTTTAGAAATTATTGTATGTGCAGTTGTGCCCCTCTTTTTGATCATGATGCCTATTTCTGCCTTTTCCTCACTTTTTAGTGATTTTAATAACAGGTTTAGGTTTATTATTTTTAAACAATTTTCTGTCATTGCCTGTTTTCTATTTCCTTCTACTGGCCTTATTTAATTATTCTCTTATCTAGCTCTATAACTTTAAACAGATTCGTTTACTTGACTTTTCCTTTCCTCTTTTTTTTAATATGGGGAAGAAAGGAAAAAAAATGTGTTTTTTTCCTTTCTTCTTCTTTTTTTTAATACGGGGGCTCACTTTTTCTTCCAGGCTGGAGTGCAGTGGCATGATCAAGGCTCACTGCATCCTTGCTCAACCTCCTGGGCTCAAATGACCCTCCCACCTCAGCCTCCCAAGTAGCTGGGACTACCTTACACGCCTGGCTGATTTTTCTACTTTTTGTAGAGACCAGGTTTTGCCACATTGCCTAGGTTAGTCTTGACTCCTGGACTCAAGTGATCCGCCCTCCTTGGCCTCACAAAATGCGGGAGTTGCAGATGTGAGCCATCATGCCCAGCCCCAGTATGTCTTGAACTCAAATTCTCTACCAATCATGGATTCTTATTCTCCTTGATTCCTCTTATAACCACTCATGTTAGGTTTTTGTGCCTACCACTCAATGAAAATTGCTCCTCAGTCCCCATGACCTGAATATTGTCAAATCCTATAAATACTTCTCAGTTCTTCTCCTACTTGACCTATTGATAATAATAGACCTGGTTGCCCCTTAAGGTTCTTCTTAAAACACTATATTGTTCTGTACTGTTTCACTATACTGGCCATCTGTCTCAGTCTCAGCTGCTAATCCCTCCTCTTCCTAATTTTTCAACCAAAATCCTTCTGCAGCATTCATTTTAACACCCATTTCAGTATACAACAGAAATATAAACATGTAATAACAGGCGATAATCATGTTCTTGATTCATTTGTGTTTAAAACAACTGAAAACAAAGAATGAATTTTAAGCTTTTATTTAAATTAAGAATATTTTACATTTGAACTAAATTTTGAACATTCTAAATGAAAATTTATGACTTAAAGTTCACACTGCTGTACTGCTTTAAAACTTAAAAGCAAATAAACTTTGTCAACTAAAATCAAAGTCACCAATATCTGGTCTGCCTGTCTCTACAATGGCCGCACTGTCACCATATCCATCATTCACAGTCAGGGACCCTTAGACCAGTGCTTACAGAGATCTCTTTCAAATACGGCACTGTGGAGATGGCCACAGAAGGTTCTACAAAAACCAAGTGCTCAACTTACCGCTCAACATGTTCAGCTTGAAATAACTGCTATCTTTGCCTTCACTTCCTTCACACACACCTGGGTATACAAATATCTTTTATGTCCTTGTGAAAGTAAATAGAGGGAAATCCCACGGATAAAGGAAGGCAAAAACCAGGAGAAACCTGAAGTGAAAACCTGGAGCAAATTTTAAGAAGGAAGAGATGTCACATTTTCACATCTCTGCATGGTTCTCCCATGGAGAACTTGAGTTAAATGTAATGATTACACGTGGCAGAAAGATGACTCTAGCAGTTTTTATTTCACACAGGCTGCTAGATTCATTCGACAAGCTCAAAGATTTTAATAAAAAACATTTCTGCTAAATACTTTATATTCATCATAAAAAATGCACAGCCATTAAAAAAGTGTCAAGTGCCCTAAATGAGAATTGACAAAGCACAGATCACCTTTTAGAGAATTTCTTTCCTTGTTTCTGATAAATCACAAACAGAACTGGAAAACTTTATTTAACAAATACTTATTTTGGCCAGGCATGGGGTTTACATTTTACTGTGTGTGCACAGGAGAGAAGGCCGGGAGAAGTGATGTGAGAAAGTGAAGACTGGTCATGCAATGACCAGTGCTACAAAGATACTGAGGCAGGGGGAAAGGTTGGGGAGTCGTGAAGTGAGGCAGGGCTGCTAAATTTAGATAGAAAGGGGTGCTAGAAGAGGTTGCCTATTTGTGGTAACAAACCAGGTCCTGAACCCCAGTGGTGCAGCGTAAGTTTATTGCTTACCCACATTCTATGTCCACCACAGGTCAGCAGTGGCTGTGATCTAGTTATTCAGGGACACTGGTTGATGGAGGCTGCATTATCTGAGACATGGGGGCACCTTCATTGTCCTGCCAGAGCTGCAAAGTCACACATGTACCCTTAAAGGCTCTAACCAATCAGCCATAACTAGTATCATGACCCCAGCTACAGTAAGAGGACTGAGAAATGGGAAGAGCTCATAGCATGAACTATCAATAACTGTCACTGACGTCCAGGGAAGTCTTCTCTGACACAGGGAAATCTAAGCCAAGACAAAGTGAAGGAAGAAGCTACACTTCCTTCTTCCTTATGGAAGTTGGAGACATTATGTTGTCATTTATGACTCCAAGAAATATTGTCTGCCATTTGTTTCCAGTAAACAGCCACACCAAATCTTTTAGATATTCTGATACAAATAACTAAATGCATTTAAAATGTCCCTTTCTATTTCTACACTTAGTTCAAATAATATCTTAGCTCAATTACTTTAAGTCTTACATACCATTACCTTACATGCTTCAACAATGATCACCTCCTGAATAAAATCGTAATTCAAGGGCTGACAAACTTATTCATTGACACACATCTCGCCTCCTCATTCATTACCTTTCCATAGGTTATTAGTTTCTCATTACCTACCTAAAACTTAGCATTATAGGTAATGAAAAGGGTTCTGAACATTACATTAAGAAATTCTAGAATAGTTACAGAGAAAAAAGATTGAATAAAAAAGTTCCTTAAAAGGTTACTGTTACCTGCAAACATAGCTTTTTGAAATACAGCTTCCTATAAACATTTACACACATTAAGATATTATTCTAACACATACTGGCAAGATAGACACTCTGTATATGTCTTCATTTTAGGAAGAAATGAAGCAAGACTATCTTTAATAATAGACTTAGAAACAATTCATAACTTGTAGTATTTGTGGGTTAATGAAAAATACTAGGCAGCAAATCACAGCAGAGTGTAACTAAAGCCTAAAATCGTGTTTCATCTTCCACAGCTACCTCTGTGCACTCACACAGGTGACTTTATTTTGCTTTGCATTAGTTGCTTCTGTAATACGGGGTCATCTGATTCGCCCCACCTAGTTGTTTCAAGTAATCAGTGTGAGAAAGTCTACTTATTGTTAGGCATATTTGTATATATTTGACTAGTTATTTCATACTTGCTCTGAAATACTACACATTAAAAATGCTTGAAATTAGACAATGTCAATCTCATCAGCCAAAACCAGCATTGGATGTGAATATTAATACCTGAATGAAATTACAAAATATACATCTCTAGTCTCATAAAATATGTACTATATAAGCACTTTCATAAACATTATAAGCAAAATAGCTTTGACAACAGCTGTTTGAAAAAATTAATAATCTTTTATACTGTACATGTGCATTAAAATGCAATAACCCCAAAGTTCATTATATTATGGAGGGGATACTTTGTAAAAATTTCATATTATTTTTAATTATTAAATAATTTTGGCAGAGTAAGTCCATAGGACTTAAATGTCCAGTCAGCCCTAGTATCTACATCTGGACCAGGAAGCCTTTGTGTGTACAGATACAGACTCCCTGTGAAGTTCTCCAGGGTGTAAGGAAGGCCCCAGGGAGATGCCCACTGGGAGCGAGGGCCTGCCTCTCAGCTCAGGGGTGCCTGCAAGCAACAGAGCCGTATGGGGAGGCTCACAGGCACAGGAAGGGAGCAGGTGGCAGCTGGTGATTATGTAACATCAAACCAGGATGGTTTCTTCTTTTTAAAGAAAATTTTGCTGAGTGTTTACCTACCCCCATCCATACAAATATGCTCTCTAGGAAATGTGAAAGTATAAGCTTCAGAAAAATGGTTTTCTCATCCTTTAATTTCTGGTTTTATGATCAAATTCTGAAGACACTGCTAATTTTTGATCAAAATAGTTGACATTTTCATTGCTTCTAGTTTTTCAGCTCCTACTATGCTTACTGTGTTTGTGTCACTGACGTCTTTGGCTATTTACCATCTCTAGAAAAGAAAAAAAAATATTAAAATTTTAGGATGTAGGATTCACAATAAATCTCTTACCAAATTCTCCTTAAATCTCTAAACTTTCTACCAGGCTCTAAGTCCAAGATCACTCCTTCAGTTCCTTCCGTGTTTTTCTTTGGAAAATCTACCCATCCTTCTCATCTACTCTTAGGTCTACAGCCACTGTGATAGTGCTAAGTTGCAAACTATCATGTCCTTCCTGTAGTCTTTCAAAAATCTTCCTACTTCCCGCAGAGTGAAGTCTAAACTATTTAACAGGCATCTAAGAACTTTCAGGACCTGTATCCTGTTAACCTGTTAATTTATCTTTGTGTCTAACTCCCTCCCCTCATCTCTCAAGGCACATCCTGAAAGTACTAAACCTGGATACATCTTTAGGAAAAACACATGTATAAACACACGCACACACACGGAAAAAAGAGGAAGCATAGCTTAGTGGTTAAGCTACATCTAAACTGCAACTTGCCTAAATAATTCAGTATTTATGTTTTAATAAAATTACTTTAATAAAAATACATGAAATTGATCTATGTTTTCTCTGAAATGCCTTTGGCTAAATTCATCTATCTTTGGCTGTTCAAACATTATACAATGTTACCATGTGTTACAGAAAGATGTCCCTTCATTTATAAAAGACAGGTAAGATATAGTGTAAAAATTTTAGAGTAGGATAAATCTGCAGCTACTCTACTAGAGATATGCTAAATTACTGTTCTGATTAGAGTTAACTTCCATTACCTTGAGTGAGAGAGAGAAAATACTCATTAATCTAGGGATAAGAGAGAAGTTAAACTCCAATTCAGAAATAGAGCAGTTCAAACTCAGAATCTAGAGTCAGATTACATGGGCTTGATATGGGAATGTGCCCTTTATTAGATGTGTAACCTTGGGCGTCTGCTTGATTGAGTTGATTTTAGATTCCTCATGGAATGAATATATTAAGACCTGATAAATGCAATTGGACAATGCCTGAAACAGTAGTCCTAATTGGGTATTTTTGTTGTCCCAGTTTTTGAGGAACAAAATCAAAGGCAAGTCAATGAAAAGTGCAGGTTTCTTGATTCCATCCTTATACTTACCAAATTAATCATAGAACACAAGTGAAACTGCCTATACTCTCAAAGAGTTCGAAAAACAGGTCTAATACACTCAACATTGTCTTAGTTGACATTCACAGATTATCAAAAGTAAAGCACATTCATAGTTTTCATCCTCACATTTTCTAAATCTGAGGAAGTGTCAGGAAAGATACGTAAGGAAAGATCTAAGCTGAAAATCAAATCACACTTGAGGTTTTTAAACTGGAACCAAGTTGTTATTAAAATTAAGTTTATGCTTCTCTGTCTACCTAAGGGCAAATTAAACCTTAAAGAAAGCAGTTTATGCTTCTCTGTCTACCTAAGGGCAAATTAAACCTTAAAGAAAGCAAAGGATAAAATCACTATTTGCCAACACATTAAAAAATAAAATAACTGGATGTATCTTCTTCAACTCTCCACTTCTAGAGATGAGAACTGCACTGGAAAACAGAGGGCATTCAACACAGCATCTGTTAAAATGAGTAACTCCCAAAAAGTACTACGTAAAAGGCTATATAGTTATCATGATCCAGTACTGCGGAAAAGTTGTGTTGAAAACCTTACCGCAGCTAACCTGTGCGTCATTTTCCAGGAGCCACATACATCCCCAGGGCTTCCCAGATCAGCCCCCTCATCCCCGGGACAGACCCCACATCCCGGCACCACCTTCCCACGACTCCCAGCGGAGGCCCCGGCCTCGGCAGGCCCAGGGGCGGCGCCGCAGCAGCGGCGGGCAGGGCTCACGGCTGCGTCCCGCCGGGTGGGCGCTCGAAAAGTCCCAGGGTCCCCGGAGTGTGCCCCTCGCCGGCACTCCCCCCGTTTTCCACGTCCCCGCGTACAGTTTCCCAGGGTCTAGAAACCGTCTAGAGCCAAAGGCGAGGCAGGCGGAGAAGGGCCTCACACCGTCCCGGAGAGGCTGACGGGGGACCCAGAGACGCGCTCCCGGGGTCCCCCCGGCCGAGCCCGCACCAGCCCCCGCAGCGCCCCTCGGAGCCTGAGGGGTGTGGGAACCACGCGAGCAAACCGGCTGCCCTTCCCGCCTCTGGAAGCGTCCCTATCAGGCCAGTGCTAGGGGGGCGGCTGAAAGCCGAATCACTACCGCGTGAGCGCTCACCATGGTGGCGGGCCAGGTATGCCCAGGAAGCGCTACCTCATCCCAGCACGCACTCATCCGCACACCCAAAGTGCGCACGCGCGGTCCCCGGGACCAGTAGGAATCTCGGTCTGAGGGTCGCTGGGGCCAATCACAGCGTGCCTGGAGTGTGGGCGTTGTCTCCCCGTGTTGCGCATGCGCGGAGCTGCTGCGCAATAGTGTCTGTGGCTTTTCCGCAGCCACGAGAGGTGAACTGAAGCGTCGGCCTCTCGCCTCCCTTAGCCGGCTCGGCCAGCGCGTGTGTTCCAGGAACTCCTGTCCCGTGGGATCTGAGGTTCTCTCATATATAAGTGGGCCGTGTCTGGAGTTTCCCTCCTTTCTGTCCTGCTGAGGTGTCCCCGCTTTGTCCGCGAGGCATTTAGGTCTGGGCGGGCGGCCTCTGCCCCGCATCACGATCCTTTTATTTTCCTGTTTCATTCTTTCTCTCACTTTCCTACTTGCTAAACCAAATGTTTTCCTTCATGGGCATGACCCCTCTGAGGGCTACACATGCTTCGACATATCCGACATTTGACGTTTTACCCAAAAAATCGACTATTTTCTAAAGCTAGTTTGATCCTATCCAACACAGTTTTTTCTGCAAGCCTTGAAGTGTGCATACTCTAGACATGCGTGGCCTGCGTTTGAACCCATCTGCTTCTAACTTGTGTTGTCTGGGAAGACTAACCCCGGGCTTCAGTTCTCATATATATAAACTGAAGCTTTATAGGCTCGCTGGTGGCCTGTAAGCCTTAGGTTGAAACGTGGAGCATATCAGAACTGTGCCTGGCACGTGGTAAATGTTCAAAAGTTAGTATTGGTATTAGGTGCTGGGCACCTTTTCTAGGCTTTGGAATAAAGGGATCAAAGTCCCTGATGTCCTGGGTGTTTATAAGGTATTGTGAATACTTTGTTATTCTTTTGGAAACAGATCTTTATTTTCATAAACATGGATAATTTTCATTGTGTGAAGTGTGATCTCAAATGATACTTTTCTGGTATTTCATCATTATACTTGATTCTTTTTAAAATTTGGGTACTGTTGAAGAAAAGTGACAATGAAATGATTTTGTTAACATAGCAAAATTCATCTGCTGTTGCCACACTGGGGCGCTGGCAGCTTTATGAATCACGTTCACAAGTCACTCTTGTGTTCGTGCTTCTTTTCACTACAGCCACCATTATTCAGGATGAGGTTTTTCACACCTACTGTAAAAGTCTATCTGCAGAAAATGGTAATGACCTTGTTCTGGTTGGCGTCCTGTTATTTTCCCAAGTACATTCTTAGAAGAGAGTGAACAAGATATTTAAACATGGGTGAATAGATGTTTTGCAGTGGGCTAAAAAAAACACTCACTTTACTAGAACAGTTGCTTCATATTCTGCAGCAATTTTGCAGAGTTTTGAAGTGGAAGAAAAAGACAGCGATGGAATGCTGCTAAAAGAAATACTAGAGAATAACATCTTTGGTGCTTGTTAATCTCATTTTTTTAAGCTGTCAATTACATGTTTGGTGACTGCTTTGAAAATTCTGATTCTGTTGCATGTGGATCCACAAAGTAGCTTAGGAAGCCTGATGGCAGAATACAAAAATTGTCTTAAAAGTATTCACAGATACTCACAATCTTTGTATTGAAGAGAATATGATGAAACTCCCCAACTCCAGTTAGGGCAGCATTGGGAATACAAGGTGAGAATTTGGAAGAATTGACCACGAAAAGTATTGTGTCTGTATTCGTCCATTCTTGTATTGCTCTAAAGAAATACCTGAGACTGGGTAGTTTATAAAGAAAAGAAGTTTAATTGGCTCACAGTTCTACAGATTGTGCAAGCATGGTGCTGTCATCTGTTAGGCTCCTGTGGAGGACTTGGGGGGCTTTTATTTATGATGGAAGGCCAATCAGGAGTAAGAGAGAAAAACGGTGGGGAGGTGCCATAATTTATCACAACCAGATCTTGTGGGAACTCAGTATCAGGAAGTCAGCATCAAGCCATGAGAGATCTACCTCCATGACCCAGACACCTCCCACTGGGCCCCAGCCACCAACATTGGGGATTGCAATTCAGCTTGAGATTTGGTGGAACATATATTCAAAACATGTCAGTGTCATTCTATGAAATATTTTGGGCCAAAAAAGTGGATCCACAAGCAACTTAAAAAGAAGATAATGAACATCTCAGTTGACAGTTTCTAACATGAATCCTTAATAGGCCAAGTGTGCAGCATGCTTGTGGTTTTGGATCAGACACTGCATGTGATCTCTCTTTTTCTTAGGGCTAACCAAGAAATAGATACTAAGTCTTAGAAAGTTTTAAATCCTTTGAACACAATAACATTTTTTAAACTAAGCCCTAGAGCAACATGTTGCTGGACTTTCTGAGCAAAGAAAGTCAACTGATATAGAAAACTGACTCCTTCAGGCCGGGCGCGGTGGCTCAAGCCTGTAATCCCATCACTTTGGGAGGCCGAGGCGGGTGGATCACGAGGTCAACAGATCGAGACCATCCTGGTCAACATGGTGAAACCCCGTCTCTACTAAAATTACAAAAAAATTAGCTGGGCACGGTGGCGCCTGCCTGTAATCCCAGCTACTCTGGAGGCTGAGGCAGGAGAATTGCCTGAACCCAGGGGGTGGAGGTTGCGGTGAGCCGAGATCGCGCCATTGCACTCCAGCCTGGGTAACAAGAGCGAAACTCCGTCTCAAAAAAAAAAAAAAAAAGCTGGCTCCTTCAAAATCCATTTTGAATGTAACAGCAGAAAGTTTTCCCCCTTGTAAATTACAGGCATATGTCAGAGATATTGGGGTTCAGTTCCAGACCACCTCAATAAAGTGAATATCACAATAATGCATGTCAGATGAAGTCCTAGACAGCATCTCATTCCATATAAGGCTATTTTGTCTACACTGAAATCTGTTGTGTAGTGTAGCCACCATTATAAATGATCTTAGCTTGATCTTCTGGATAACTTGTGGCAGTGTCTACATTAACACTTACTGCTTTACCTTGTACTTTTATGTACGGAGGCAGCTTCTTTCCTTAAACCTCACGAGCCAATGTTTTCCAGCTTTAAACTTTTCCTCTGCAGCTCTTATGTCTCTCAGTCATCATAGAAAAAGAGAGAATTAGGGCTTCTTTCTGGATTAGACATAAGCTTAAGGGAGTGAAATGTCTGGTTTGAATCTTCTACCCAGACTACTAAAATGTTCCCCAGGTGAGCAAAAAGACTGTTTCACCTTCTTACTATCCCCGTATTCACTGAGGTAGCACTTTTTTTTTTTTTTTTCAAGAACTTTTCCATTGCATTCACAACTTGGCTAACCATTTGGCACAAGAAGCCTGGCTTTCAACCTGTCTCAGCTTTTGACATGCCTTCCTTGCGGAGCTTAACCATTTCAAGCTTTTGATTTACAGTGAGATACTTGCAAGTCTCTCTTTCACTTGAACATCTAGAGGCCTCTATAGGGTTATTAATTGGCCTAATTTTAACATTGTGTCTCAGGGAACAGGGAGACTTAAGGGGAGAGAGAGATGTGGAACAGCTGGTTGGTGGTGCAGTCAGAACACACACGTTTACCAGTTCAGCTTAAAGTCTTACATGGATGTGGCTCTTGGCACCCCCAAACAATTATAATAGTAACATCAAAGATCACTTGCCACACATCACCGTAACAGATATAAGAAGAAGAAAACACTTGAAATATTGTGAGAATTACCAAAATTTGACACAGATACATGAAGTATGCACATGCTGTTGGAAAAATGGCACTGATAGACTTGCTCAGCACAAAGCTGCCACAACCCTTCAATTTATATATATATATATATATATAGACAGTATCTGTGAAGCACAATAAAGCAAAGTTTACAATAAAACAAAGTATGACTAAATGAACTTTTACTCCCTCAGGTTTTACAATTAATCAAACCACTTAGAAAAGTCAATTACTTGGCCTGAAAACTTGCATTTTGTTTACAAAACTAAAAAATACGCTATTCCCTCATTTTTATTCTTTTTATGCGTAATGCTGTTAAACTCTTAATTCATGTTCACTGATCAAATATAATCTATCTGATTTATGCTAACCATATTTAGGTCTTATTTTCTTCACTAGTGTCAAGATGAGCTGGTTATAACTTATACTAGAATAATTAGTGTTTGAAATTTTGATGTTTCAGAGTCCAGGAATCCTTTACACTCAGCAATATTCTTTCTTTTCCATAATGATCTAAAAAAGAAGTCATGTGGTAAAGCATTTGAATTAGAAGAAAACGGTTAAAGAAATTTAACCATTTTATGGAAAGGGAAGTAGGAAGTTTCCAGAAGAAGATCTTTACTGACCTAATGAAAGAGTTGCAATATAATTTTAGGGAAAATATTGATAAGGATAACTACAATAATAAATGTTAAAATCTCTCTTGAAAGACCCTGATTTCCAAATGTCACTTTGAACATTTTCTTAAGAGGGTTACTTTATTATTTTATATTAAATCAAGTCTACTTAAACATGTCAGATGGCTGGATCTCAGTTAAAGGAAATATATAGTGAGGATAAATAAAGAAAAATAGATCATATTATTTTGGGGATAAATATTTATAACCATTGAATTATGCAGAAAATTATTTAAACTAGCAACAAAATATTTTTATATATAAATGTGAAATTTTGGGGGAACATGAAAGTACAAATAAGTAAGAAGGAACTTAATATAGATAAGCCTTTCTTAGAGGTGGTGAGGGAAACTGACAAGGGACACTCTGACGTTAAGTCATAGAAAGTATGCGAGTTTTATTTGGTCAGATATAAATTCTTAATTGTCAGGTTGAGAGACAGAACAGGAATGGCAAGAAAGACAGGAATGCGGGATCATAGGTAGTAAAGGCTCTAAAGTTGGGAAAATTGAGTCTGGGTTCTTTCATCATCAGATAATTCTATCAAGAAGGAACAAGAAAAAGGAAAGACACTGCCATTATTTACTCACTTAATACCCATCCATGTCAGGCCATGTACCAAGTATTTTAATTATATGCCAACGATGTGACTTGGGACAAGTTAATTCTCAAGCCACAGTTTTCTTGGAGATGAAACTAGTAGAATTGTGTGAGAATTA